TGTGAGTTGACAGTTGGGAGGTTTGGGCCTTGAGCTTTGTTTACTGGTCAGTACCCATCTAGTCCCCCACCTTAAGTGGGTTTGTGACTCTCAGTCGGGAGGAAGAGCATAGCTTTTCTCCACATATCATTTCAGGCCCAAGGAATTCTACTAAGTCACAGATGCATATGATCTGTTCCTTTGTTCTTGGTTTGGAAACAAACTCTTTTTATAGAATTTTCATGTACCTCTTTCATAAGTAAAATTCTGTGGAGAGAGAAGATGAACTAGGTAAAGCAATAAGTGCTAATACGGATCATCTTCCCTTGTGTCTGATGGGGCTAGTCCTAACGGATAGATACTGTGCCACAGAATCCTGGACCATTCTCTTTTCTCCTGTTTTGGGGTCCTTTTTAGGGAAGACGGTGTTATACATTTGAAAACTGTGGACCTCAGCTATGCTTCACTGGTGAAAGAAGAAGAGGGGCTGGGATTGGTGAATGGAAGAAACATGATTGGTGGGTGGAATGGTGAGGTGGAAGCCATTGTCCCCTTTTTTCTCTAGTGATTTCAAATGAGAGCAAACACTTCTTTGGTGTAGTCTGAGAAGTCATGCAGAGATTTAGTGCAGTTGAAGGCATTCTTCAAAAGTCCCAATTTTCTGAAGTGGCAGCATCAATGGGTTCGAGCGTGGCAACAATTGTGAGGTTGGCCCAGTGTTTTGTTCTGTTGTGCATTGGGTTGCTATGAGTCAGTACGGACTCTATGGCACCTACCAACAACAACAACGACAAGGATATAACACTTACCATACTGGAGTCCTGGTGAGATGCTACAGGATAATAGACTGGACCTAAAGATCCATTTGAACCACAAGGTAGGCGGTTCAAACTCACCAGCCACTCCTCGGAAACCCTAAACAAGCTCACTATGAGTAGACTTGATGGCATTTAACAACAACATACTGGACTAAACAGTCATCTAGTTCTTCCAAAAATTCTTTTTCTACCATAGAAGAATTGAATGCCAGAGCTGGAAGGAACTTTTGCATGCAATCTAGTTCAGTGATTACCAAACTTTCATTTATTGGCATATCCATGTACCTCTATTTACTTAATATTTTTCTTTAACTTACTTTATAATTTTTAATTGAATTTAAATAACAATCGTCAGAGTATAGTGGGTTTAATACATTAAAACACATTTTTAACCTGCATACTTCTCAAAGTAATTCAGAGTGATTTGTTCTTGTTGTTGTTAAGTGCTGTTGAGTTAGTGCCGACCTATAGCAACCCTGTATAGGGTTTCCGAGGAGCAGCTGGTGAGCTTGAACCACCGACCTTGCAGTTCAAATGGCTTTGCAGTCTGGCACATTCACCCACAGCGCCACACCAGTGATTTGTGAACCATCTAAAATTGTATCATATTTTACTGATGATACACATCTCACACTTTGGGAGACACTGGTAAAGTCCAATTCTTTCTGTTTACAGTTGAGGAGACTGAGAAATCACGCTAAGTGATTTGCCCATAGGTCTCAGAGTTAAAGCTGGTACTTATTTGGGACTCCTGTTAATACACAGTCTTCATTCATTCCAATACACCATAACATCCTTGTTCTGAAGCAAATAATTTCAAGTATTGAGAAGCAGTTCTTAAATGTAATTAAAATAGATGTCAGGTGCCATCGAGTCGGAACCAACTCATAGCTACCCCATGCACAGCAGAACGAAACAATGTCCAATCCTGGGCCAACCTCACTACCACCGCCACACTCGATGCCATCAATGATGCCACCTGGCCGATTCATCTAGTTGGGGGTCTTCCTCTCTTTCTCTGACCTTCCATCTTACCCAGCATGACATCCTTTTCTAGCAACTGTTCCCTCCTTACAATATGTCCAATTAAAATAGATAGTTAAAATTAAAAACGGTCTACCTTGGAGTTGATTCTGACTCATAATGACCCTGTAGGTCAGAGTAGAACTATTCCATAGCGTTTCCATGACTGTAAATCTTTAAGGGAGAATCTTTCTCCTGTGGAGTAATTGGTGGGTTTGGAGCGCCAAAGTGACTGTACAGTTAGCAGTCCACTGCCATCACCAGGCTCTTATAATTAACCTTGTTGTTGTTAAGTGTAATCGAGTTGGATCTGACTCATAGCAACCCTGTATAAGCACATAGGGTTTCCGAGGAGCGGCTGGTGTGTTTGAGCTGCCCTCCTTGTGGTTAGCAGTCCAGTGTTTATCCTATAGTGGCCACATCAGGACTCCCATAAATATTAATATTTGTTGTTATTGTGTGTCTTCAAGTAGGTTTCAACTCATAGCGACTCTGTCTAGAGTTTCTCAGCAGTGGCTGATGGGTTTTGAGCTGCCCAGCTTGTGGTTAGCAGTCTACTGCTTATCCTACAGTGCTACACCAGGCCCAGTGGTTAACATAGTACCTGGTACCTGGTAAGAGAGAACTCTAAATGAATGACATGTTTTTTAATTTCTTCCTTAAATCCCTGTTCCCTGCCAACCTGGACCAGCTGTTATGTGGAAGCTTTAAGAGTATTTTTTAATGCCAATGTTTTGCAATATGAAAACAATGTATTTTGGTGTTACTATTAGAAAGATGAGGAGCTCTGGTAGCATAGTGGTTACGAATCGGGCTGTGAACCTTAAGGTCAGCGGTTCGAAACTACCAGCCGCTCCGCGGGAGAAAGATGAGGCTTTCTACTCCTGTAAAGATTTACACCCTCGGAAACCCTGTACAGGGTCGCTATGGGTCGGAACCGACTCGATGGCACTTAACAACAACATTAGAAAGATGAGGCTTTCTGCTCCTGTAAAGATTTACAGTCTTGGAAACCCTGTACAGGGTCACTATGGTTTGGAACCGCTAGACAGCACATAACAACAACAACAACAACAATTAGTAATTTATTTTATTGTGCTGTGGCTACAATAATTTATTGTGCTAAAATATTCAACAATTCTTTTCAATTTTGACAGGTTGTTAGTTCTAGGATAATTTTTTGTATTATTTACTCAATTATTTGTTACTATCTATTTCTTCTTGTTTCTTTTATTTTTGAAATGTCTAACTATTTGGGTGTTGGATTTCCTGGACTAACAATCTCCCATATTATTTTTTCCTACTTTTTAGATGTTTTCTTCACCTATTGTTGTTGTTGTTGTTAAGTGCCGTCGAGTCGGTTCCGACCCATAGCGACCCTGTACAGGGTTTCCAAGGGTGTAAATCTTTACAGGAGTAGAAAGCCTCATCTTTCTCCCGCGGAGCGGCTGGTAGTTTCGAACCACTGACCTTAAGGTTCGCAGCCCGATTCGTAACCACTACGCTACCAGAGCTCCTTCACCTATATCCGTTCATATTTCTATGTAAATTTTTAGACTTTAGCTTTCATATTGTTGATTTCTAAAAGCTCTTTCTTATTCTCTTGTTCATTTTTTATAAGTATCTGTTCATTTTTTGTGGACCCAATATCTTTTATGATCTAAGGATACAAATTTTTACTACTTTTGAATCTTTTATTTATTTCCTGCATTGTCTCAGTTTCTTCCTAGTTCCTTCTCTTTGTCTATTTTAGTTTGATTGTGTGTGTCTCTCTCTCTTTCATCTTGGAGACATCGTTTCTCAAATGTCTTGTGACCCATTGTTCTCTGGCTATATTTAAAAGTGAAACACTTAAAAATCTGATTGCAGTTTCTTTCTTTTTGTGTGAACAAAGCTTACTGACTGAGAAGCTTGACTGTAATTTATATTTAGGAACCTACTGTATTTCAGGAGTCCTAGTGTGGCGCTTGCAGGTTAATGTGCTAGACTACAAAGTGAGTTTGAACTGCAAGGTTCAAGCACACCAGCTGCTCCTCAGAAACTCTATACAAAGTCACTGTGAGTCGGAACCGGCTTGACAACACTTAGCAACAACCTCATTTCAGACTATCTTACTGGATAGGATCAACAACAATACTACATTTCAAAAGTCCTAGTGTGTCACTGTAGGATAAGCACTGGACTGCTAACTGCAAGGTCAGTGGTTCAAATCCACCAGTCACTCATCAGAAATCCTATATACAGGGTCCCTGTGAGTTGGAACTGACTAGACAACACTTAACAACAACTATATTTCAGACTATTTTACTGGATAGGATCAAGGAGTTCTGCACACTCACTAAGATCATCTGCTGTTAGAACAAGGGTCTATGATACTGAGGAAGAAGAGTGGCTTGTGGGGTCGGTATTGTTTTCTCTAAGGTGTTTCCTTAGAAACATGGCATTAGGGACATTTTAGATGGGGGAGCAGACCAAGCCCAAATGCCCTTACTAAGTGCTGCGTGTTTCTTATTTCTTACTTGAATAGTACAATTACCGCCTGCCAAAATTCTCATCAGCATTGTCTCCAACTACCTCTTACTAGCCATTTGGCAAACAAAACTTATTGTGTCTCTCTCTGTTAGAACACAATTTTTATTCTACTAGATAACTAGTCATGGCGCTGTGGGATAAAGCACTGGAACCACAAGGCCGGTTTGAATAGCAAGGTCGGCAGTTCAAATTCACCAACTGCTCCTTGGGAAGCCCTATGAATCAAAACCAACAACAACAACGTACAATATAATTGGGAGTTCTATAAGATAAGCACTGGACTGCGAACCACACAGTCAGAGGTTCAAGCCCACCAGCCACTTCACAGCAGAAAGATAAGGCTTTCTGCTCCCGCCAAGATTTAAAAAGCCTTGGAAACACTATACAGGGTGGCTATGAGTCAGATCTGACTCTAAGGCACTTATCAACAACTACTACATTTCTGTCCCTGGAGGGTTTTTTTCTGTGTTCTCAGAGAAAAATCCTGCAGTATTCTGCCTGCTGATAACCTGAGGACAGGGTGGGAGAAGGGAAGTGAGAGTTTCATAGTTAAGTGTGTAGATTTCTACTTACCCACTACTGGTTTTTTTTGTTTGTTTTCTAGCCCTTGAATCTCCATCTGATCAGTTTCCTCTTCCAGGTATCCCAATGTTGTTGGGTGGCTCATCTGGGCAGTCAGCCCTGCTCTCCCTGCTTTGGGCTGTGGTGGTGTCTTTTTCTTACTCAGCCATACCCATAGATGAGGCACGGAATGAGCTATTAAATAGAGAGAAGATGGTGCGGCTAGGTGAGCACCTGGTGCTGAGGAAAGAAGAGGAACAAGTCAATGGGAACCTCATGACCCTCAAAAAGGCTGAGATAACAAAGGCCATGAAGACCCAGGAGTTCCCACCCAGCATGCACTTCTTCCATGCCAAGAAACTCATTGAGAAAAGTGATGTGTTCCATATCCTGAAGAAGATGCCAAAAGGTAGAAGTTCGTAGAGGGGTGGTTTGGGGGCCCTGGGATGGTATGGGGAAACTGGGAACTGCTTAGTGGAAGTCTGTGCTCCTTATTTTCTGAACAAGGGTAGTTATCTCAAGAAGTCCTCAGGGAGTAGCTGAGAATCCCACTAGGCAACCCAGCTCCATTGTTCTCTCTGGAAAACTAGGTAGTCATGTTGGATGTAGCTGCTTGTTCACCCCTACAAACCAAATGCCTTGCTTCTGAGGGGAATATTTCAGAAACACAATTTGAGGCAGGGGTAGGGGTAGGTTCCTGGCTGTTTCTGATCTTCCCTGACAAAGCTGGAAAAGTGTCTTGCCATAGGACAGTGTCCAAGACCCAATGACCATTGTTATTTTTCCCTTCACCTCTTTCCTCTCATCTCATTCTCCTATCTCTGTTATGAGAGAAAATAGGATATGAGATGTGATACAATCATGTGATAAGAAATGTACAAACACATTTCCAGGAAGAGTAAAATAATTATAATCTCATACATAAAAATAATCCTTTACAGCTTACTTTTCTACACCTTGCTTTATTTAAATGGCATAAATAGAGATTAAAATTGCAATACCTGTGAGACTGGTGAAGTAGAATTTATCATTCCCAGCTGGTGAGGAACTGAAGCCGCATACATCAGAGACAGCTGCCATGGGTTCAGTGTCAGAGCCAGGTGCTAGACGGAGCAGAATAAAGGATGCACTGTACGCTGGACCTTGACAAACACTGGGTCAATATTGGCTGAGGTCTGAAGGGCCAACATGTGGCACCAAATGGCCAAGCCTGCAGGTCAGAAGCTCCACAGATACTGACCTGTAGCAAAGAATTTGTTGTTGTTAATTGTCGTCGAGTCAGTTCTGACTCATAGAAACCCTGTATAGAGTTTCCAAGGAGCGGCTTGTGAGTTTGAATCGCAGACCTTGCGTTCACACTGCCCTTGCGGTCCAGTGCAAGGACAATTGTGTAAGCAGTACCATCTAGTTCTTCTGGTCTCAGGGTTGTGGGAAGTGATATCCAAGTCCGGTCCACTGGACAAATGGATTCCAAAACTCTTCAGTTTTCATCACTCTTCATTCACCTTAGGTGGCCGCTCACGAGCTTTTAAGATCCCAGTCACTACTCACAGAAGCAGGATGGAGAGCATTCTTTATGGACTGGCGGATGTCCATTGGCCATGGTGTCCCTGAGACTATGGTCCCACTCTTTTTTTTTTTTTTTTTAACTTTTCATTATGAATTGAGTGAGGGTATACAGAGCAGATTATCAGCTTTACATTCAACAAATCATACATTTTATTTCATCTCAATGATTGCAATCCCTTCCTTGTAACAAAAGTTATTTCACTTCCTCCCTGTGATTTTTAGTTCCATTCTACCTTCCTTCCCAACCCTTCTAAACTTTGTCCTTAGGTAATTGTTGCCTTTTTGATCTTGAATGGTTGACTATTCCATGGTGAACATATTTTACTAGTGTTCTAGCCCACCCCTATATACCTATCTACCACTTGGCTAAGAATTGCACCAAGAGGGTGAGCTCCATTCTAGACCTGAAGGGTGGCCAAGAACCACCAAGAACCATCTTCTCAGGTTCCTCCAGTCTGTTTTTGACCAGTAAAGCCTGTTTTAAAATTGTTTGTTCCACATTTCCTCCCACTCGATCTAGGACCTTCTAATGTGAGCCCTTTCAGAGCAGTGGGATTTTTATTAATATCCCTTCGGTCAGTGTTTGATGGTGAGACCTCATTTAAAAGGCATGGGCTCTTTAGCGAGAGTTAGAAACTGGTGGAGTCCTGATCTGAACCCCAGTATTTGATTCCACACCATCACACCCATGCCAAGGAGGAAGACAAGGAAGCCCCATTCTTTGCTGGACCAAAGAAGACAGTGGCCACGTTGGTGAGACCAAGGCAAGAAATCACTCAGGTCTTGGAGCTGAAGTGAGAAAGGTGCATTATAGTAATTTTTTTCCCCAGAGGGACTTGGCAAGATAAAAATCCGTATGCTTTGGACTTCTCTAGCAACAGCATCCTCACAAACCCCTAACCCTGCATTTCTGGACTAAACTTCTTTTACTCCTTTCCCTTCCAGGGGCTGCCTTACACCTCCATGACTTTGGTATCTTGGATGGGGACTGGTTAGTGAAAAATGTCACCTACAGGCAACACTGCTATATCTGTTTCAATCCAAGTGGGACCTTGCAGTTCAGATTTGCTCACTCAACTCCCTCCAACAATAAGCAGGACAACAGTTCAAAGTGGATCCTGCTGGAGAATTATAGAAGAGAGTTGCAGAATGTTACTGAGTTTGACAATAGGTGAGTGGGGTTCAGAAAGCAGATATTTCACGCCTGTCACAGGTAATGTGCAGTAAGCAGGTTTGTCTCACTTGGTATAAGCTCTGATGTCTCACCTTAAAACAAAATCAGGAGGCATTTTCTTTTTAACTTTTGTTGTTGTTGTTAACTGCCATGGAGTCAGTTCCAACTCATAGTGACCCTGCACAGGGCTTCTGAGGCTGTAAATCTTTACATCTTTCTCCCGCAGAAATGCTGGTAGTTTTGAACTGCTGACCTTGTGGTTCACAGCCCAATTCGTAACCAGTATGCTACCAGAGCTCCTTTTTAACTTTATAGATGGATATTTTGCTTCACAAAAACATCTAGAGGCTTTTCTTGCCTGGTACATTTTAAAATCTGGTTTGATCAGCAATAATGTTATTAAATCCAATAAAAATTGTCTTGATGCTCAATGAGGACCTAGCTCCTAGGATGATAATTCAGCTGGTCGATGAATTCGTTAAAAAGATTAGAAAGCAACATCTTAACATACTTGTATAGTAATATTATAGGTAAGAATATTATAAGCAATAAATACCTTATTATTTTATATTAGAATATATAACTTAATAATATAAGGAAGTAATATTATAAGTAATAATATTGTTACATAAGGAGCTCTGGTACCATAGTGATTATGAGTCGGGCTACTAACCTAAAAGGTCAGCAGTTCAAAACTACCAGCCATTTGTCAGGAGAAAGATGAGGCTTTCTGTTCCATAAAAGATTTACAGCCTCAGAAACCCTATACAGGGTTGCTCTGAGTTGGAACCGACTCCACGGCACATAGCCACCACCACCATCGATATTGTTATATGTATAGTAATGTTGTAAGTTGTTGTTGTTTTCAGCCTAGTCAGTTCTGACTCATAGCAATACAAGGAGTGGCTGGTGGGTTTGAATCACCAACCTTGTGGTTAGTAGTTCAATGCTTATCCTACAACACCACACCAGGACTCCATGTTATAGATAGAAGTTATCTTCTTCATAAAGCAGCCTTCAGAGTATCTTCATAAGGTTGTTTTCCTTTATTAAATAGAAACATGATACTCAGCGTAGTTAAGAAATTTGTCCAAGTTCACACAGCTCATAAATGGATGTAAACCTGGGTCACGTGGCTCCATACACAAATTTATTGCCACCAAATCACCCAAAGAAAGTCCCTGGGTGACTCAAATGGTTTGTGTTCAACTACTAATTTAAAGGTTAGTGGTTCAAATTCACCCTAAGGTATTGAGGAAGAAATGCATGACAATTGGCTTCTATAACTTTTACAGCCAAGAAAATCCTATGGAACAGTTTTACTTTAACACGTGGAATTGTCATGAGCAGAATCAATAAGATGGTAATGAGTTTACGATTGTTTTTTCATTCTGACTCATAATGAACGCCTTTATATAGGATTTTTTACACTAAACCTCTATGGGAGCAAACAGCCACATCTTTCTCCCACAGAGTAGCCTGTAGTTTTGAACCACCAACCTTGTGTTAGCACTCCAACATGTACCAGGGCTCCTTCCTAAGTACAGTGGAGTCAAGTAAGCAGAACCAATGCAGGGAGAACAGGAAAGCCTGGCTGGACAAGGTATCTCCCAGGGAATACAGAGCAGGCAGCCAGAGTCCTGATCATAGGATGGAGGGCTTGGCTGGGAGAACTAGAGATGCTTCCCTTCGCCTCCTCCTCATCATCGTCCTCATGGTGACACATCCCAGTTTGCCTATAGAAACCCTCAGGTGTCTGTGAGGCATGGCCTGCTCCTTCACACACCCGCTTTGTGTCCTGGACAGCCTGCTGAAAACTTTCACTCTGGTGACGGAGAACCCTGAGGTGACTTATGCGGATCAACATGACATTTGGGCAAAGTTTGACACCATCTTCCACACAGTCTCTGGCCTTGTCCATTATGCACCAGTGTTCAGAGACTACATCTTCCGGAGCCTGGAGGAGTTCTTCCTGGACAATGTGATGTACCTGGAGCTCAGAGCCATGCTGCTTCCGGTGAGTCCAGCTCTCTTTCCTCTCCATTGCCCCTCTGCTCTTGCTGAACTTTCTGACCTTACCTTGTTAGCCTTCAGAGTTCCCACTCTAGTGCTGGTCAGAGGTCTGAATGTTCATGAAATCATCCCCCAGATCACTGTTAGAAGGGGACTCCAAAATAGACTCTTCTGGCCCAAGCAAAATTGTAGCCATAAACCTTGCAGACCTTATCTCTTCCCCAGGATGCAAGATGCCTCCAGAGTACTCCGGTTCCCTGACCTTGGACTCTGAGTAGTTTCTCCTGCTGGAATCTTTCTTGGCTTGTCTCCTTTCACATCCCTAAGTCCCTTAGAAAGATGCTGTTAGTAAGGAGGCTGCTGCTGAATCTGGTCATGTGACAATGGGGGTGAGTGAGCTCCTGAGGGGCCCTTTTTATGGAGCATGGTTGCATCTTATTTAAGGTCTTCTATGGGCAAAGTCGTTTGAACTGCAAGATCAGTGGTTCAAGCTCATCAGCTGCTCCTTGGAAACCCTTATACAGGGTTGCTATGGGTTGGAATCGACTCGATGGCACTTAATAACACAACAACATGGGCAATAAGGAGCCCTGGTGGTGATATGGGTTAGGCATTGGACTTCTAACCACAAAGTTGGTGGTTCAAACTCACCAGTTGCTCCACTGGAGAAAAATGACACTGTCTGATCCCATAAAGATTTATAGTCTCTATGTAGTCCTGGTGTGGCCCTGTGGGTTAATTCACTGAACTGCAAGGTCAATTTGAACCGCAAGGTTGGCAGTTTAAGCTCACCAGTCGCTCCTCGGAAAGTCTATACAGGGTTGCTATGGATCGGGTCGGAACTGACTTGATGGCACTTAACAACAACAACATGTAGGGTTGCTATGCGTTGGAATTGACTCTATGGCAGTAGCTTCTCTGGACAAGGGCCTGGTGACTTTCCACTTCCCTTTTCCCCAACTTAGGGACCCTCCCTCTCTACTAGGGTCTGTGTGGAGGTCTTGGGGAAGACTTCCCCTGGCTCTTCCTGCCCTTTGTGTTTTGCCAACTCTCTTGCTATTTCCTATGTGTTCCATTACAGAAGTTCCTTCACAGATTTCCCTACAAACGTTGAATCTTCTCTTTAATCTCCCTGAAATTTGTTGTTTTGTGATTCCCAAGTGTTGGTGGAACAAAGTTCAAACTCTTTGGCATGTAAGGGGAGTCCCTCACAACACAATGTACTTGCCACCCCAACCTTATTATCCAACCTTCCTTCCTTCTTCCGGTCCTCTCTGGCATGAGTCAAGAGTTGAAGGCTTACTAGAAGGCAGTTAACAACACTCCCAGATGGATGTACATAGTTTGCAGGCTCCCTAATGAAGAATGCGCCTGCTCCCCAAAAAACAAAACAAACCCACTGCCACCAAGTGGATCCCAACTTCTTGTTACCCTTTAGGACAGAGTAGAACTTTCAATTACAGAAACAGACCACAAAATCATATTCCCAAGGAGTAGCTGGTGGGTTTCAATCACTGACCTTTCTCAGGTAGCGATCTAAGCATTTTAACCACTGCACCAAAGGGACTGCACCTATCCCCAAAGAACCAGTTATTCTACTTTTTGTTTAAGTCAGGCTCCCTCTCCTTTGTTGTTGTTGGTAAGTGCCCTTGAATCATAGAGGGTTCAGACTCACAGTGACCCTGTATAGGGTTTCCAAGGAGCGACTTGGTTCAAACCAACCTTACCATCCAGTGCTTGTCCTACAGTGCCACACCAGGACTCAAAGTGGTAGACAAAGGTTCCTCAAATCACAACTCTCACTTTTCTTTGCACCCTGGACCGACCCACCTTTTCCCTTAGCTATGCTAATAGCTTAGTCAGATAATCTTCAGGCTGGACTCTAGAGATCTTCTCTTGGATCTGTTGTTTGACAGTTTAACTCTCTAAGTACCAATTTATATTCCTATTTCTTAAGTTCTTGAGCGGTAGAAATGGGGCTGACGTTTGCTCCTCAGAGTTTTCATCAGTTTTGTTAGCAGAGTAGATATGACTCATAAAGACTCTATGTACAACAGAACAGAACAAAACACTGTCTGGTCTTCTTCCATCCTCACAATTGTTGCCATGTTTGAGCCCGTTGTTACAAGTCTTGTCTATCCATCTTACTGAGGGGCTTCCATTTTTTTTACTGATGCTCTGCTTTACCTAGCATGTCTGTTGTTGTTGTTGTTAAGTGCTGTCAAATCTGTTCTAACTTATAATGACATTGTATAGGATTCCTGAGGATCCATCCCCCTGTGGGTTTGAACTGCTGACCTTGAGGTTAGCAGTCCAGTGCTTATCCTACAGTGCCACACCAGGACTCAAAACATAATATCTGTGTTGTTGCTGAGTGTCATCAAGTCAGTTCTGACCCATAGCAACCCTGTACAGGGTTTCCAAGGAGGGGACCTTGCAGTTCAAACCTACTTTGCAGTCCAGCACATTAACCCACAGTGCCACACCAGGATGTCTAGGTACAAATAATTATGGAATGAGGACATTCATTGCCAAATGATACAGAGAACAATCCTTTTAAAAGAAGACAAGGGTCTGATCTATCTTGTGGAGAGAACAGGATTCCTGAAAGAGATGAGCTGGCACTTGGCCTGGCCTATTTAGGACAGAAAAAGTGGCACTTCACATCCCAAAACAATTTATTCCCATGTGTTTGGTCCAGAAAGCCCTCCTCTTTCCTCCCTTGTACCTCCTCTGGTAGTGTAGTGGTTATGAATCGGGCTGTGAACCTCAAGGTCAGCAGTTTGAAACTACCAGCTGCTCCACGGGAGAAAGATGAGGCGTTCTGCTCCCGTAAAGATTTACACCCTCGGAAACCCTGTACAGGGTCTCTATGAGTCAGAACTGACTCCACAGCACACAGCCACCCCTTGCCCCATCTAAGCCCCACCCTCCTCTCTGGGCCCAGTTTAAGCCCTGCCTCCTTGTTTTGTTGGTCAGCCCTCCTTCACCATCTTCCTGAGGCCATGCCTTTCAGTATCCCTTTGTCTTCCTTAGTGTTTACTTCCAGGCCCTCTCTTTTGTTATCTTCTTTTATTTATGTCTTTACTTAGAAGTCCTGCTTTTACAACTAAATTGTGAGTTGTTTTACATTGGCAACTGTCTGAATAGATTTGAATTTTCTAATCTCCTTAGCAGGCACCAATAGTAATAATCACTTGGTTATCAAGTGATTCTAAACCTTTAGGATACACAAGAGTGCTCTGGAGGTGCTGTTTAAAGTTCCTGCTTTTGGAAGGGGATCTCCCAGGTTCCTGATTTTGAGGCTCTAAAGTGTAGTCAGGAAACTGCAGTGTTAACCAGCCCCCAGGTGGTTGTGCCTGATTCACTTTGACCTTTACAAATCACTTTACCTACAAGAAGTTTGAGCCTTGCTACAACCCTATCATACAGAAAACATTAATTTACTTCCAGATGTGGAAACTAAGCCTCGCTGGTAGCAAGGGTGGGTAGCCAGATAGAAGCCGGGACTTCTTATAAGTCCAGCACATTTCTGAGGTTTGGGGTAGCTACACTCATCCCAAGAGGAGTTCCCAGAGAGGGCATCCACCTTCAATTTTGTTATTTCCTGAGTGGAAATGATGTTCTCGAAGATCCAAGCCATGGTATTTTCATTAACCTCATATGCATGTGAAAGCTGGACAGTGAATAAGAAGACCATAGACGAATTGATGCTTTTGAGTTATGGTGTTGGAGGAGAATATTGAGAGTGCCATGGGCTACCAAAAGAACCAATAGATCTGTTTTGGAAGAAGTGCAGCCAGAGTGCTCCTTGGAAGCCAAGATGGCCAAACTTCGTCTCTCATACTTTAGACATATTGTCAGGAGGGACCAGTCACTGGAGAAGGATATCATGTTTGGTAAGATGGAGGGCCAGAGAAAAAGAGGAAGACCCCCAATGAGATGGATTGGCCAAGTGGCAGCACAGATGGACTCAAGCGTGGCAACAATAGTGAGGTTGGCCTAGGATCCGGCAATGTTTCATTCTGCCGCACATAAGGTCGCTATGGGTAGGTACTGACTTGATGGCACCTAACAACAACAAGATGAGCCGGGTTCATGCTGGACCTAGAACTGGCCTCTGACAGGGGAGTGGCCTCCTAATGGGCAAATCCTGGCTACATCCTCATTGTAGGTGAGGAGAGTGATTCCCTACGTCTTGCAGAACTTCTGACTCTTGATGAAGGATGAGAAGAGGAATGGAGAAATTTGCTGAGATGCTTTGGGTCTTAGTGAGTTTGAGGTCTGTGCTGTTCATGTTGAGGCTGGTGGGGATGTATTTGGGGAAGTTGCTGAGAAAATAGTTTGCAGGAATAGGGAAAGCTGGAGCATTCCTTCCCCTTTTCTGCACCGAATGGTCTCTCCTTACCAAACCTCACTTAGAAAGACTGGGACTCCAGGTCAGCCTGTCTTCTCTCCCAATGTTAAGCCCCCACCCCTCACCCCAGCCTGCCTTCCTTCCTAGAAAGTAGAGGACTGCTGGGATTTGATTCCGGTGGAGACAGAGGGGGATGGGATTGACCATTTGTTCTGGCCTGACCCTCAAACAAAGGCTTCTAGCAATGGAGAGTCTGTGCCTTAATGCCCCCCATTAGCCAGGGTAGGGGGAGCCATCAACACATTAACAACTAAAAACAGTCTTCACTGGAATTCTTTTGCTGAGCCGCTTTACCTCCCCCTTCTTGGCTTTGGGGCTAATTCAGAGCCTGGGGATGATGTTGATGGACTATCCTGGCTGCTCAGCCTCCTATTGTGTTACTAATGCTCTATAACAAAGGCTACTTGCCTATAGCAACAGTTGCTAGGCGGGTCTTATCTCCTGGGCTCCAATCCCTTCCCCCACTGCCCAAATCTGAGGCCCAGACTGGGTCCAAGCTAGTCTTTGGTGTGGAGCTCTTACAAGACCCAAGAGGATTAGCAACTGGAGACTACCCTGCTGGCACTTACTGATGGGATCTCTTAGGG